TATGGGGCGGGGGGCTGGGGGAGTAAAGAGGGGGTCAGGAGGGCTGGCAGGGGTCCCCCCATGGTCCCTCCCCCAGCCCCACCTTCCCCACGCAGGCTCAGAGTGGCTGCTGCTCCCTACTGCAGCCACCAGGGACTGCCTGAATCATCAAAACTCTCCAAATCTTTTCTGAAGATTCAGAGAGCTTTGAATCTATTCAGACCTTTAAATTGGTCCCCTCATTTGACTTGGATTCGGAGATTCAGCCTCCGAATCAAATCAGCACCCAAAGCTTCACACAGCCCTATCTTCAGGGATTTCTGCAGCTGAACCCAGAAGACATCCTCATGAAGTACATTGTTCCTTATACTTCTGGGTACTTTAAGATCCTCAATTATTGCTGTGTCTTGAAGATCTTCTTTGTTTTTTAGTAAACTTCCAAATGAGATCACCACTCCACCCCATCTAGTATAACTACAGAGTTTGAGTGTCGCTATTTGATTCTTTGCATTCTTCCCTTCTTGCTTCTTCTTAAAGACTGCAGCTACAATATGAGTAGTTCTTCCATGTTTTATAACTTCTTTGGCTCTTCTGTAGATCTTTTGCAGAGTGTCCAACTTCATGATGTCATTAAGAAGCAAGTTTAGCCCATGGGATGCACATCCTATTGCAGTAATATATGGATATTTATCCATTATGATCTCCCATGCTGCTTTCATGTTACTTGCATTGTCAGTCAGCAAAGCAAATACTTTACCACTCCCAGTCTTCTGTAGAACTTCACATATTTTATTACTGATATACTCTGCAGTATGTCTGTTCTCTCCTGTTTCAATGGTTCTGTAAAAAACTGGTTGAGGTGTTGTTATCACAAAGTGTATGATTCCTTCTCCCCACACATTTGCCCATCCATCTGTAAGTACTGCAAGACACAGTGCTTTGTTGATTTTTCTTTGCACAGATTGCATTACACATTCATATTCCAACTCTAAGAGAGGCTTGCTCAAAGAATGTCTGCTGGACAAACGGTATGATGGTCTTAGTAATTTAAAAGCTTCCTGCTGGTATGCATTTTCAGTCACTGACAATGGTGTCCCAGAAAAATATACTGCTCTTGCAAGAGCTTGGTCAATTTTTCCCTAAACTTTAGGTGCCATCTTGTCTACAAATTAAGCTATCAAGAGTCTTTTGTATATAGTAGGTTGCAATATTTTGTTACTTGAGGATGCTGATTGGGCAACCCTTTGTGATGCTGATGTTATAGTAGCAGCAGCAGCAGGACTTCTGGATTGAGAATGTGGAAGGAGTTACTTGCACTTTCATCATCATGACCTACCCTCCTCCTCACTTATACCCATGAAGGATTTTTTAATGTCTGCAGGACACTTCTTACATACAAGGATGTGTTTGGTCATCCTAGAAGCATTTGGAAATGCATATTTCATTTGACAATATTTGCAAATCACATTTTTTCTTAAAATAACTTGCAGTGTGGAAATGCTTCCATATGCTAGAAGCTGGTCGCACCATTTTGCTGAGGGAGAAAAAAGAAAAATGTAATTTAATGGCTAGCTTGCATATATAAACACTAAGCTACAGCATGTACAAATTTAGTAATGGATGGAGGAGAGGCCTTTTCAGAGTTAACTATGAACAGCTTCCCTGTCCTGCAGGCCCTCACCTCACTGCTAAGGTTGTGTGATTTGTCACAAAACATCAGATTAGTAGGAATTCAATTATGAATTACATAGGTTATGAAAATATACTAATGCAGCTAAAATATAGTTTAATATACTGAATTCAGAGAAATTTAAACTCTTACCTTTCAGTAAAGAAGTATACTTTTTCAGCTCCTTTGTGCTGCTTCTATACTTCTGTGGATCTCAAGGCCAGACGGCCAGGAGGCGGCAGGTTCCTCCTAACTCCAAAACCTTTAGACTTGCTCTGTCTCCTCTCCTGAGGCTTTTGAGCAAGCAGAGCAATAAACTCCTTGTTTCTAAACTCTACAGGAATGACTGGATGCTGTTGCCAGTGTCCACTCTCAGTCCTTTGAGGCCGAGTCAGGATGACAGGAGCAGATCCAAAGTCAACTATAGAGGAAGTCCACAAGCAAAGAAGGCACTGAATCCTTCTTCCTTCTCTTGTGAAAATGGCAGGGCCCCCTGGGGGCAGAAATGCATCTTGCTCTTGCATTTGAGAATTGTACTGTACTGCTTGTCCTCGGTGTACAGGAATTGTAATGATCTGATACTGTAGATAGTTTTACATAAAAGTCTTCCTATTACATAGTTATTAGAAATGATTTTTGAGGAGTAAAGGATAGTAATATATGAACACCTTGTCTTAAACATTTTATTCATCATTCTAAAAGAAAATATTTCAGAAGTTGTTTTTTTTTTAATTTTTCAAAAAAATTAATTTTTCAGAAAAAAACAAAAAAGTCCTCAGGGTGGGGGTGGGAACATTTTTTTCCAAGCCAAGGTTCTTTGGCTGAATCTGATATCTTTTATTAGACCAACTTAAATAGTTGGAAAAAATATTTTTTAAGCAAGCTTTCAGGTTTAAAAACCCTTTGTCAGGCTGAGGAAGTTTCAGCAGTTGGTGTGTGCTCTTTCTGGACGGAATGAAAAATAAAAAAGCCAGAGGCTGGGCTAGTATGCATGTAAGATAGGCAGTCAGTGAAGATGTAGACTGAAGAGTCAATGAATGAGAGACAGGCTGGGTGACAGGGAGAAGGTGGGTGGACAGTGGAAAGGTACCTGGGGAGTCAGATGTCAGGCAGGTTATAATACATCATAAATCCAATGTCTATATTTAGTCCATAATTTTTAGTATCCAGGAGGTTGATGAAGTGGAGTTTGTAGGCTCATCTCTGAGAAGTGTTTTGTACGCTTCCTTTGAGCATCAGGACTGAGAGACTGGAGAAAGAGTAGTTTTCTTGTGAGAAATGTGCCCCCACAGGTAATTGGGTATTCTTGTCTTTGATAGATTTCCAGTGTGCATTCATTCTGGTGCGCCGTTGTTGTTTGGTCTCTCCTATGTATTTTCCATCAGGGCATTTGGTGCACTGGATGAGATATATTACATTTCTGGAGGTGCAGCTGTAAGATCCGGGAATGCTGATGGCTCTGTTGTGGGGTCTAGTAATTGTGGCGGTGGTGATGTGTTGGCAGGTTTTGCATTTCTTGTCATAGCATGGTTTGGATCCACTTGGTGTGTTCTGGGCCTGAGGAAGTTTGCTTCTGGTGATAAGGCTAGCGAGGTTCGGTGCTTGTTTGAAGGCTAAGATGGGTGGCTCTGGGAAGGTCTCTTTAAGAATAGGGTCTCTTTCTTGTATGGGTTGCAACTGTTTGAGGATTTTCCGTATGGGTTCGAGGGAGGGGTGATATGTCATAACCAGTAGTGTGCGATCCATGGGGGTTTCTTCTGTACTGCAGCAATTCTTCACGCGGTATCTGGATGGCTCTTTCAAACTTACGATCTTTCTGGAGGAGCGTCCTTGTTGGGTGAAAACCTTTTTAAGATTGGTGAAGTGGCAATCCTGGGTTCTCCTAAGTGCAAATTCGGTGGTATCTGAGGGCTTGGCTGTATATCACAGCTTTTTTGGTGCGTTTAGGACAATTGCTGGTTCTGTGCATATATGTATGTTGGTCTGTGGGTTTCTTGTATAACAAGGTCTGTATTTTGCCATTATGGATGCTAATCACCGTGTCTAAAAAGGAGATGGTGGTACTGGAATATTCAAGAGATAGTCGAATGGAGGGATGGTGATTGCTGAATTTCTGATGGAACTCAATCAGAAATTGCAGGTTTTGAGTCCAAATGATGAAGATGTCATAGTTATATCTTAAGTCTTTGTCCTAGTGCTCTGCAGCATCGGAGGGACTAGAAGCTTCCTACCAACTCATTACAATATTAGGCTTTTCACACCAGTGCAATTAGTGGTTAGCAGGTAGAAAAGAGGGAATGTGCTGCTGCAGAGCTCATGTAAATAGTGTTTCCTGTTCCCATACAGAGCCCTCAGTGCAGGAACATCTGCAATGTACTCTTTTGGGAAGATGGGCACATTTGTCTTGGCTTTTTCCCCTTCAAGCCAAACAGTTGGCATAGAAGCATATTTTTTTTTAGTTTAACTCTTAATCTATAGCTTCTATTTAAGTAGTCCAGGGAACAGGGGAATCTGATCCGACTACAATCATCCAACATTCCTTGGACAACAAATTCATTTCAGGTCCAGCAGCCAAGGATGCCATGATATGTCATTTGATTTGTAGTCTAGTCAGCTTGTCAGAGAAGCATCTCCACCCCACACCACCCAGGGGATGGGTCTAATGCAAACTTAAGATCAGTGGTCTCCAACCTTTCAGAGAAGATCACCTTTGGCATTTAAAAGCAACTCAAGATCTACCATGCGCTCCCCCCAACCCAAGTCTGTAGGGAGAAAAGTGTGTGTGTGGGGGGGAGGCAGATAGAGGCAGAGGAAGAAAGAATTATTTGGGGACATGCCTCCTCAGCAGGTAAGTCCCACCCGGCCAGGGGCCCACACAACTTGCCTCTGGTCCTACCTCTGCAGTACTGTCCCTTACCGCAGGGGTCCTTAATCTAGCCCTTACCCCTTCCCTCCCCCATGGACTAACCTGCTAGACTGGGGCACACACGTGAATGCACATGGGCATTCAGGCCCCCACCCCAGCCTTGGATCAACTCCAAGAGGCTAACAGATCTACCACAAGAGGCTCCAAGATCTATTGGTGGATTGAGATCCACTGGTTGGTGACCACTGGTATAGATACATGTACATAGGGACCTCCTTCAAAAGCTAAACATTTCAAAAGGGCAACAGATGTCAAATGTAGCAAAAGCACTCTAACTTTAACACTGCTTCATGTAGTGCTCCCTTTTTGAAACAGCTCTAAATGCAAGCGTGTCTACACCCCCCAGGATTCTACCCTATTCTTTCTGGATATGCAAGTTAGGCAAGTTTTCTTATTAAAGAAAAAACCAGAAAGTCTACAGTTTGAATGATCTTAAAATGATCACATATTTATTTTTCTTACTGCTTTTAATCATCTGAAGATTAAATTAAATCCCAAAACTTAAAATCCATTACTTTTATATTGTGTATATGCCTATATCACGCATGTGTACAGGACACTGCCTTTAAAACAAACAAACAAACAAACAAAGGGTATTACTTTTCTTTTAAAAAGATCTATTAAACACACATCCTCTTCCACACTTTCAGTAGTCACATGCAAAATGTTCTGTAAGCAGGCAGTTAACACATGGAAAACAGTGGAACATAAAACACAGGACTAAGAATTTTCTAAGATAAGTTTTAGGTGCAAGACTAATCTCTGGACCCTTACCTTAGCTCTATGCTCAACATTAGCTTTTCTATCAAGCAGTAGGCTAACTACTTCAGTTCTTCCTTGGAAGCAGGCCAAAGTCAGTGCTGTGTTCCTATTGGTCTCTATCTGGGCATTAATGTCAGAGCCCATGTCCAACAACAACTTAACAGCAGCAGTGTGCCCATTCATAGCTGCCAACATCAAAGGAGAAATACCCAATTTGCTACCAGTTCTGAAAAAAAGTGAGGAAAAAACATTCACTGTGATTATCGTATATGACAAGAACATGAGAAGAGTTATGTCAAAAAGGAAAATTCCCAAAATAAAAATTATTCAAGCTTAGAAAGATTTATAAATGGAGGTTCTTCTTTAATACTAATGGTGTCGTTTATAAGAATGATTCTGACAGTTGATTTTCTTATAAGGATACCACTTTTAAAAAAAGCTAGCCATTCTGCTCAGTCCTTTAATCTGAAGGATTAAAAATCAA